GGGGGGCCTCCAGCGGCCCCAGCCAGGCACTGGGACGTCTGCAGACTCTGCAGGAGGCAGCATGGCTGGTTTCAGCAGCCACCAGTGCCTGTCCCCCTCTGCATGGAGCTGTGCAAGCCAAGGAGACCTCATAGCCAGGTGGACCTGCAGCAGTTAATGTCCTTGACCACCACTCAACCATTTAAGAGGCCCCAGATTTCTGTTACCCTCTTGCTGTGCTGAATCTGACAGAATATGGTATTGCCCTGAAGCGTGCTTTCAGGGGATGTTGTTGGACCTACAGTCTGAGCCCTGCAGATGGGACTGTGATTGCAAAAAGTGAACACCACACTGCCCCGTGCACACACGCTCCCCTGCAGCTGGCAAATACATCTCAGTGTCAGCCCCAGGCATTACTGTGACTTGCCCTGGGCAGCTGCCTAAAAAATGGCCTTTTGGTATGAAAAGTTTGTGAACGACTGTGCAAGAGGACCGTGTGGGATCTGGACCCCAGCCATGCCATCGGAGATCTGTCTGGGGCTGTCCTGCTGACCCACCCAGCCTAGCAGGACCTGTGGATGTGGGGACAGCTTTAAGTTGCTGGCAGACAGGTTAGTGTGAGGGAAGCTAAGCTCTTCCCCAACAGTTCTTGAATGCTATTGAGAAGGTTTCATTTTTCCCAGGCCCTTTGCAGCAGCCCTTACTGGGGTAGCTGGGCTGAATATGCTTTGGGGAGATCCCTGCCTTGTAACCCTTTCTAGCTCCCACCTTTTGAAGGCTCAGAGGCAAAGATCTGCAGAAACCTGAATTTTGTTTCTAGATAGACCAAATATTCCTTGCTTGGAGAAGGAATTCAAAATCTGTTCAACTTATGCAAATCCATTCCCTTTAGCTTACTGGGATGGCACAGAGCAGGGCTAGGTTTAGGGCATGGAGGTGTCCAGCCTTGAGCCAGGCAGAGGGGAGTTCCTGCAGCCTGGCAGGGTAACAGGCTGGCTGGTCTGGCTGCTCCTGTTCTCCCCGTAGTGCCCATGAACGCTTAGTATTTGGATGAGCTTTGATTAGATAAAACAGTTGTAAATTTATGGGCAGGCAGACTGATGGGAATTTGGCTGGGAGGAGTTGGGAGTTGGTCTTTCCTGGGAGGAGAAAGCAGTTTTTCTCCCGCTATGTCCACAGCTGAGGTGGCTCTTCACCATCTACCTGTGAAGGAAAGCCTGGCCGCACTACCCACATCCTTTGGCAGCTCTGTGCTGAGATGAAAATCACCATTTGGTATTAAAAATGGTTGAGGAAGTGGTTTTGAGGGTGTGAGTGCAGGTGGATTCAATGTTTGCCTACTTTTGCTGTCCCACTTACATAGGCTGTCCCATGCAGTCTCTGGTCCTTCCCTGCGCAGCAGCAAGACCTTTCTTCTCCTGCAGCTGGACTCTCCGAGCACCAGCTGTTCCCAGCCCGGTGGACAGCCCAGCCTGGCTCCTTCAAGCCTGTTTGCCTCCCTCTCTGTTAGCACGTCTTGGTTTCTCTCCACCTCATCAGTGATTGTCCCTGATGCATTGGAGCGATGAAAGACAAGTGCATTCAGGGTTCCCAGCAGTGCTGCTCTGCCTGATCGCCGTCACCGAGCCCTCCTGGTGGTGTGTCGCACTGCGAAGCTGTTTCTGCAGCTGGGAGATGCTGCAGACCACAGTGCCCTGGATCCCAGTCTGGTGTCGTGCTCGGATGAGCCTGTTACGTGGCCATGTAAACAAACCCTGACTGAGCACAGGTGCTGAGACCTGCTGTCCTGAAGAAGCACTTGATGCTGGTGAGACCCAGCTTTTTCATAACGGGACTTAATTTTCATAGATTCCCCCAGAACATTATCGAGCAGGAAGCTGCTTTCTACCCAGAAAGTCTCTTCTGAAGGTGTCACTGTCTCTGCAGTGGCTCAAGTGGCAGATCAGCAAGTCCCTAGCCTTAGTAGGCGCTGGCAGCACTACTTATGATGTGTGTGCATGGAGGGGATGAGTTGGTGAATGTTTTGGACCTGCATGGTGGTGCACAGGGCATGGTGTGACCCATGGGTCCCTTCCCATCCCATGTCACCTCTGTAGTACGGACAGATGCTGAGGCCATGAATCCTGGATTCTTGTCACAACAGTGCTCACAGCTTATTCTTCTCTTCATAAATGCCACTAGTTTAATAGCCCTCCATCTCCCGGCTGCTCTCCCAGCCCTGCTGGGGAGGGAGCAGCGGCTTTGATCCATCCCCTGGAGGGGTCTCTCAGGCCCACTGCTCTTGCTGTGGATTTGCAACCTCACTGCTAATGTGAAACCTGATCCAAGCCTGCTTTCTGGCCAGATGTTGCTTCACTGTGCTGTGGAGTACTGACCTTGCAGGGAGATGGGTAATGTTGACATGAGGTTCAAAGGTGATGTTTGGAGCTGCCGAGTGCGGGTGTCTCTGGGGCTGTCTCGCCTGCTCCACAGGGCTTTCTTTGAGGCAGGGACGTAGGAAATTAGCACAAACTAATTGGAGGTCAGAAGCTCCTCAGCAATTCCCCATCCCCATTCTTACAGTGATGCCCTGCGGCTCTGCCTGCTCCTGTGGCCACGGGGAGTGTCTCTGCACGCTGTGTTTCTCCACAGCATGGGAAGGCAGCGAGTTCAGT